TCTCCTCTCCTCTCCTCTCCTCTCCTCTCCTCTCCTCTCCTCTCCTCCCATTTCCTTAAGAAATATGAGTTTATTGACTACTCAGAAAGAGCCTTCAAATACGCTGGGTGATGTGAGGCAGTCTGTCTAAACATATTTCACATAAATGCTTTTTCACAGTCAAGTTGTAAAAATGTTACAAAACACCTTCTTTTCGTGGCACAACTAGAAATGGTTGCCCCACCTTGAAAGAACATTTTGTCCTAAATATTCATGTGTTGTCTCTGTGAACTTGCACTAACATATATTATATTCTCCCTCCCCTCCTTGACTAGCTTGAGAAAAAATAGGCGTAATATTGCTAAACCGGTTGAATGTAACATCTGCTTGAGGCACAGCATCTTTCTCAAGGGCTGTTTTGAGTAAACAGCCTGAAAACCAAAGAGAGAGCCTGATTCACCATAATGCTGTGCCAGCTTTCCACCCTTGTCACTGTCCTGAAGTGAGGCTGAGACTGAAACCCTGAGATTTTCATGTGAGAGAGCAGCACTGAGATTTTATCTTCTGGATTTAAAAACATTCACTATGGAGGAAATGAGAACAGAGTAGCCACAGCACTTCCAAGCTTGCTGCTGGTGGTGTTGTAGCATGATGTACTGTAGTCCTAATGGAACATGAGTTTAGAGAGAGGTAGTGGGCATTTCAGAGGCCACCAAGAGCCCAGTTCTGCAGAGCCACTAGTGGAGGCTCTGAGCAGCCTTCCAGCACCCTAGAATGGAGATGACAGTGTGAGCAGGCAGAGTCAAGCTGAGGGCAGACCTAAATGCTCACCATGACAAGCGCAGAAGTTTCAAAGAAAAGCTTTTTATAAGTCCACCAAAGTCTAGGACTATGTAGTGTAGTGCTGAAATCTGTGGTCAGTCATTCTAGGCTTTGTTCTGATTTTCTCACATGGATCAGAAAACGTACAGGTAAAAGTTGCTGTATGGTGCGTGGGGTTAAAATGAAGGCCAACCCAAATGGGGAGAAAAAAATGAGCTACTGACGCTTTATCTGGCTTTGATACACCCTCCCAGCTCCTCCCAGCAATCACTGCTGTTACAAATATGCACAATTACTATAACAAGGAGATTCAGCAGCATGTGCAAGATCAAAATAATAAACTCATGCTTTGCCGTGGGACTTCCTTAGCTTCTGTTGCTAGGCCTTTCCATCTGTCTGTCAACAAATAGCTAAATCCTGCTGCCTTTAATGTTCATGGCAAAACGCCTTTTGACTTCCATGAGAATATGTCTGTAAGAAAAGGGGTAATTCCAGCCCTCTCAGCTGGGGAATACTCTAACAATCTGTTCTTTCCTTTTCCTGAATTTAAGCATCAATAGAGGACTATTTCTGTCTGCGTTATTTGCTCGAGTAGAATCAATAGAAAGCACGGTCTCTCCCAGCTGCAGAAACACTGGCTTCGCAGTTGGCTGATGAAATGTTTTATGTTCATTATCTTCTGATTTTAAAAAGTGAGGATGTGCACGAAATGACGTGGCAATAATGTAATGTGTACCGTTCACCACAGATCTATTTTTATGTGTTGTGCCAATTTCATAATGAACTTTTAATAACAATAAAATGTAAAATCTTCACTGCGGTTTTATTTGGTCTTTTATAACAATTGTTAATACTTGTTACACGCCCAATTTACTTCTTTTGCCTTCTGAGTGTTTTTCAGACATAGCTAATTCTTCCTCTAATAAAGCTGTAGTGTGGCAGTTTGGAATTAGAAGTGTTTCTTTGGTAGCAGGTTGTGTAAAACTCCTTCAAAATTTAAACAGTCTATATAGAATAATGAAACAACTATTTTAGAGGAAAGAATAACTTGCTTACTCATGCAAAACACTCACTGACATCACTGGGCAGTGTAAACTGCAGGAGTTAACAGGCATGTCTCAGAACAGGACAGGACATGAGACTCAGACAGCTGATGACTTTTGATGGCATAAAAGCCTCTCTCTGCAGCATAACTGCAGACAAGATTCGTGGATATGTGGTGAGCAAAACCACAACATCAGCTCCAGAAAGGTGGTATTATGGGATCCAGTGTTTCACTTGTTGATGTGATCCTAGATGAAGCTCACGTTAAAATCATTAAGTGCAAGAGGAAGCTTCAAGGTCTCAGCTTCTTCAAGTTAAAGCTTTTGGGAAAACTAGAATCATCCAAGGAAAAGATTATGCCCTCCATCAAGCTGTGACTATAAGAAATAAGCTAGATTTCTGAGAGAGACCTCAATATCCAAAGAGCATTGAAGTAGCAGATGAGCAACATTTGACTACCACCAGCTGCATTTTTTTTCCCCAATAAAATGATAAGGAATCAGATGTTCGCCAAGAATTTGGATCTGTGGCCATCCTTGCTCACAGGCAGCCTGATATTGGCCCTTTGTTGTTACACACGATCCTAAAAAGAGGTATGTTAAGAACTCTAAAGAATACAAGATTCAAACAGTATTAAATAATGTAAATACAAACCAGAAATAAGAAGAACAGACAGAAATACAACAGGCAGAAATCTGTACGGCATCAAAAAGGAACACTGACTTGGTTCTGAGCCAGCAGGAATTTCCCAGTAACCATGATGAACTTAAGACAAGATTTTACATTAGCAAGTGTCTCCAATAGCCCCACTATAGTCTCAGACTTCATCTTTCCTTCAGAGGAGTGAGGGTGGCAATGCTGCAAATACATACATTCACCTTGCCTTCCCTGAGACCCCCTCTGTGTCAGGAGTCTTGGCAGGATCCGTGCTCTGTGACCCCAGCCAGCCCATGGCAGGGGGGTTGGAACTGGGTAGGTTTTAATGTCCCTTCCAACCCATGACTTTCTATGATGATTCTATGTCCCAAAGAGTTCTGGTATAGGTTGAGTGTGAGCCCCAAGCCTCCACTGCTACATAAGTTCACACCCATTTGATATCTTAAGGCATGGGTATGTTAGAAAGGCCTCTGCACAAGATTCGGAGACTTGGCAGAGCACCCACCTCGTGTAAAGGCAGCATTGAGTCCCTGCCAGACAGCAGAACAGCAGCAAAGTGTCTGGGCGAATTTCCAGAAGGGGTGTACATATACCAATGTCACCATTTGCATTGGCTAACCCTTACAGAGACCCTTGAAAAGCTCTCTCCTTGATCTGTAATACTGAGTAAACTCCAAGCATGAGCTCTGAGTACCTGTTGCAACAAATGCCATGGGCACTTCTCTCCCATTCAGATCTGCACTGTGTATAAATCACAATTGGGCCTTATTTTGGTAGAGTGTTTCTGATCTTGAAGCCAAGTCAACTTGTGCTGAGGGATTTACTCACAGGAATACCACAAATACAACTCTGCTAGCACTGCAGTGTATCTTATTTTTAAATGATGACATTCACCATTCTTCTAAGAATAGAGACTGGCTCCAAATCATCTCGTCAGCTTCAGCATGCTCCATTTCTCATCCTGTTCAGGTTTTAAAGCTTCAGTTTCCACACTGCTGCCTTCCTAGACCAGGGCTGTGATGCAAGATGGGCCATTTTGTGAAAAACACTGAGAAGGATGTGTCTTTCAGCAGCTCTCTATGCAGCCAGCTGAAGGAGATGCACAAGTCAGCCTTGGCCCTCTGAAGAGATGGTGAAACAGAGCTGTGTTGATACGTGACTTGCAGAACAGGGCTTCCTCATGACTCAGAAAGATATGAACAAAAGCCAGATAAATTTAGAAAAAACATCACAGAAGCAGAAGAGCAAAGAGGAGGATTTTAGTACTAAACAATCTGATGTTAACAGCAAAGAGATTCTCCCTTGGTGCTCCAGAGGCTGTGGGCTGGTGTAGCTCCAACTGAGCAGAGCCAAAGCTCCGTGCAGTGGAGCAGGCTGCCACCAAGTGCTGATGGAGATACCAGAAGTTTTTGAGATGTGCTTTGTCTGGCCCCAAAAGCCCTTGTGTAAGGAAAAAAAGCCAGTGCTGACAATACTGTTATGTATAACAAGCTACAATAGCTGTTCTAGCTCTGCGATACTGGAGAGGCAAAGAGGATTCTTTCTTGGCTGCTCTCTCAGAAATTTTGTTTAATGGGAAAAATAATCACTTTCTAGAAAAGAGTCAGACCAGAACTAAGGATAGAATATGGTTATTGGTAGAAGAAACATTCTTTGGTAAGTAGAAGATTAGTTACAATCTCCTGAGGAAAACAAAATGTTTGAATTTAAAAGTAGAAGGGCCACATCAACAACAACATAATTCCTTTCATGCTCCAGCTTTATAAGAAAGACACAAAGAGCTTCAACAACTAAAATACAGACCCTGAGGGGCAAAGCTGGGAGAAACTCTGGATTACTGAATGGATGTAGAACACAGCTTCCACATCCATTCCCCATCATTTTCACTGCCTTTTCTCAGAGGTGGCAGTTCCTCTCCGTGAGAACCATTGCTGGAAACCTCACAGCCATAGCATAGGACTGCAGATCCTTACTGCACAGCTTTATGCATCCTTTACAGACACCAGTGTATTTAGCAACACTGACTGAAGAACTTCAAAGAGCTGACAGACTTGACAATTCACATTAATTCCTGAATGCTCCTTGCCATCTCTAGTACTACTGCTGTCATTCTCTCGGCACGGAGACTTAACAGACTTCCTCAGAGATCAATGCTGTAACTTGAAATACGTGGATCTGTACATACCTAATGTTACATTGCTTTGATTTCTGGCTACAACAGGGAAGTATTGCTCCCAGGTCCTCTCTTCACCCATCAGGCAGACACACTCTTTTGTGCCAGATACACAACAGTAAGGTGAATAATGCCATACATAACTTCTGAGATGAGATGGGTTATCCATAATGCAAAATCTTTCCAAAACTTGGGTTTTTTTTTTTAATGGTAAAGATTGAGTGGCATTATACTATTCTTTGCAGTCTGCACTGCCTCACAGTGCTTTTGCCTGCCATTTAAATAATGCAGAAGAGAGACTGCAACATGATGAAGATCAGGTTTCTTAGCAGGCAGTTGTTCGCTGAACCTTCAGCTCAAAAAATGATGTGCAGACATTTTTCCCTACACAAAACACAGCATCACATCCTGTGATGCAAGCAGGTATTTCTCTTACTGGTTCTGGTGGTAGTACACTGATTTATGGCAACTGAGCACCTACTAAAGAATAAACTTGTATAGGATTCCACAATTAACCTGTCTTCTTCAAACGGTGCTCTCAGAAAAGATAACAGGATTCTAATTAGCATGTGCAAAGAGAAGTGCATAATCATTTTAATGCATTGCACAGCTGAAGCTGTGATAATGCAGGCTAAAAGATGATGCTTTTCAGTGAAGGGAATCAGTTGTAATTTTGCTTTTATGTATTGATTACCTTCCTACTGTCACTGGTAGCTAGGGAACATGACACATTATCTCATGCTGCATATTGGAGAGCAGAAGAGATTGTATTCTGTATTTTGTATGTTGTATTTTTTAGAAATCAATTCTTACAGTGTGATGGTACCAGTTGGAAGATCATACCTGTGCATATTAAAATGTCAGCACATTAATTACTGGATAGTGCCAGCAGTCATTTCACTGTCTGGGGTGGGAGGAAGGGGCAGAAATGAACAGCTCCAAAGTTTAGCAACTGACAAGAGCAATGTTTTTACCTCTAAGGGTATCCTCTGAAAGCTGCATGGCTCATACTGGCTTGTGTGGAAAGGAAGCCAGTAAGAAGAAAAACTTCACTTTCCAGGATGAAGAGCTGATGCATTTACAGACCAAAGTGTCCATCTCTCTCCTGCTTTCCCTGATCCTGTAATGCATGGAATTACATCTCTGTCAGTAAAGAGAACAGATAGTCATCTACAGACATTCTTCAGGGGTTCAGTCCTAAATCTCTGCTGCTGGTGGACAGTGTTTGCAGTGCCAGTGCTGCACAACTGCTCACTTAATCCCAATCACCAAATCGAGACTGGGAGGCAATCAGGAGCTGCCTGTGTAAAGTAGGTGTGCAGCAGCATCTGTTAGGAATTTATGTGTCCTGTAAAGCATTTATATGTCTTGTAAAACAGAAGAGATTGTTTAAGACTGTCTTGAAACAATATCAGCTGGGTTAATAGTCCTCTCATCAGGCTGTTTTAGGCAGAACTTGCATAGGACTGACCAAAGTCTGAACGTTTCTAGTAAAAATCAACCCAAGTGTCTCTAAGTAGAGCACAGCCCAGGTTCACTTGCAGAAGAAATAACTAATGCACACTTGAAGCATTCAGCAGTCAATTCAGGTAGGTGACAGAATGCCAGAAATTTCCTTCTACATTCAAATATCCATCCTCTGTTAGCTTTCAGCCACATCACGACCCGTGTCCACGGTCAGGTCATAGACTGTCACACAAATTCAACACAAACAGACCAGGGATCACAGACCATCACAGGAAGACAGTGAGTATTCCTCTTGATACAGCTGGTAGTTCAAACAGTTCACAATCATTTGGCTACATTAACTGGAATGACGATGCTATCACAGAGTTATAGCACAACTTCTGGCAAACAGATTTTGCTTTCAATTCCTTTTAAGTAGAGTTGGTTTAAAACCTATTTGGTACTCTTGAATTTTATATATTTATTGTTGTAATAGGACAACAGGTGTTGGGGGCTATGAGATGCTTGGTCTTTTCCAAAACCCTAAGTTGACATATTCTGGTACTGCTCATGAATGGCAATATACTTCATGCAAAGAAAACTCTGCCCAACTAGTGTACTGCCATTCTTCCATCTTTCAATAGGTGAGTGAGCAAACAGAAGACTCTAAGCTACCTTTACAGTACTATTTAGCTTTCCCTACACTTTCACCATGTTCCTTCCTGAAGGTACACAGCTCTTTTCAGCCTAATAACCAAATATCAGACGGGAAATTTTCTAAATTGTTTTAGCATGTTGCTTCAATCCACACTTTGAGAATTAACAGTCACCATATCTCAAGTACATTGTAGGTGGTGGCATATTGCCTAACATCCTGATGTGAATGTGAGATAAAGGCCTATTCCAGGGGGTGTAGTGCAACACGAAACCCAAGTGTACAGACTTTGTAGATCAAGTTTTATCTTAATTTCAAAAAGCCTCTAATTATGCTCAAATATGTTCTTTCAGGCATTCCAACATCTGGCCTTCAGGAAACCCCACGGGTAACTGCAGTCAATGATTCTATGTCATTCTCTCTTTGCAAGGGATTTTAGACACTGAGTCTATACAGCCATGGCACCTAACCAAATGGACTTCCACCTCAGGCTGTTTCCATGCTTTTGGCTTCCTCTATGTTCAAGCTGCCTAGCTATCTTATTTTACCTGCAGTGCTGGAAGGGAGGAAAAAGATTTGGCCTCTAAGAGCATACTGATTCACAAGGAACATGCTGTTCTAGGGAGGGCACAACAGGAAGAAATGTCCTTCATGGCTTTCAGGGTGTTGTCAGCTAGGTTTCAAATATGAGGCCGCAGTTCTTACTTCCAGAGACTGTCACCCACTTCCAGCACGTAGGAGCTCCACTTGGTTAAGAACTCAAGCAGCTCCAAAGGAAAATTCTGAACACCTTCACAGGTGAACTTCCTTATACGGCCACGAAGCCATGGGTTGTGATGGTTGGCATGCAGATACATATCAGCATGCCAAAACTTCCACAGCAACATGTAACTAGTATACACAAACACAATTACACATACATTTATTGGGAGAAGGTAGTCGAGTGATTCAAACATGTGTCAACAGCTTCCCAGGGTGAGGATTTAAAAGAGCTATTTGGTGCAATAAAGACTGATGCTTAATACACAGTTTTCCACAGGCTGCTTTTTTGCTTAGGCCAGCTGACTGGCTACATTAGTGGGAAAACTGGAAGCCTTTTAATGGGTGAGTAGTAGCTGAAACTACGGGGGCATTCACGCCACCTTCTGCAGCGTCTAACTTCAGCTGCAGTGGGTCTGGTCTCTGTGGATTTCCTATACAGGCAGTGGAAAGAGAGGCACTCCTCCAGAGGATGATTTATCAGTGATTATTGCAATGCCCTGAATGGTCTTCCAGAGGATTTAGCTCTAGTGTGTACAAAGGGCCCCTGAGGATGTTTGCCTTCTACCAAACACCCAAGTGTAGATACCTGCCTGATCTCCGTTCACAAGCACACATATCCTGTGTTTGAGGTCTAAAAAAAAAAAGATAAGAAAGCAACATAAGACAGATACAAGACTTCTTCAGCATCTGTTAAGAAGGAAACTACCACCCTGAGAGAGAGAACAACAACAAAGGCTTTCAGTGCTGAAGGCAGAGGGGTTTGCATCACTCACACCATAAAGAAGACATTTGCAATTCTGCTTCCAGAGGGGTTCACCTGTCCTGCCAGGCTTAGTAAGAGCTCTAAATAAAAAGCTATAGTGGTGGAGGTGCTTGGGGCAGCATCTGCACTACATCCCTCTTCAACATCCCATGAGTAATGCAAGCATCTTCTACATGTAGGAATAGGAAGCACAATACACTCCAACAACTGGGAATGCTAAATAATGTGAAAAGTGCTCTATAAACATGTAACCCTTTTTTGTTTTCGTAACTTTCCATATTGCTTAAAGCAGAGTTTCCTACTAGCTAGATCCAAAGTAATTAATGGTTACCAGAACTTTCAGAGGCTTTCAACAAGATCCTTCCTGGATTGCCAAAAATAGGTCACAATAAGAAAAAACTGCGTGCCTCTCCTTCCATCGAAAGTAAAATCAGATAAAGCAGAATTGTATTTCAAGAGGGCAGATTTTTGCTCTGATTGAACAGGGAAATTTTTTATCCCAGTCATTTTTGAGTTTTCAGCAGCAGCACCTTCTCAGAAAGGGAGCTATTCAGAAGCCTTTGGCTGATGGGTTGCAAGCAGCACAGGGAATGTTGACGTCGTGGTATTCAGCCCTCATTTCTGGGTGGTCTCGTATTCCTAAACAAGAAGAAAAAAGAATGTAGAGATCTGGATTCAACCTTCCTGGTGCTTTACTGATGTCAAGGAAGTTACAGTAGTGGACAAATCTGACCTGAACAGTTTGGGATCAGCAGTTTTATACGTAGTTTGACTTCTATCACTGCAAAATGTCTGAATGCCAGAGATGGTTGAGTGATCGCTGGCTGCACCAATCTCTAAGTCTGATGGACACGTGTTTTGGAGTGCTTTATCAAAAGGTATGAACTCAAGGTATTGAGTGCCCTCCTCCATCTGTGGGAATGAGACAGAAATAATTTGCTTGGCTCAGCCTCAGCTAGCACCAACGCTATGATGTATGTGAACATGCTCACCCTCCCATAAAGCTGCAGCCTCTACAAAGGAGAGAGAACGGGCAGACTGCCTGAAAACAGAAAAGGGAACAGGCCCGTGCCGCTACACAGAGATAACAGCCCTCCAGCTGCTTATTCAGCCTCAGTCAGAATACATTCAATTCTGTGAATCTGCCAGCAGCCAGGGAAAAACCATGGGCATGAAAGCCCTTGCTCAGCAGATGCAGGACACATGCTTTTTGTTTTCTAAGACAATATTATTTTTTATATGCAGTCTCAGGCAAACTCAGGAGTCCCGACGTGTCCTTACGCTCTTCAAATTCCTCGTCTGCTCTGCCTAGCTAAAGACTGAGCAAGGCTTCAGGATTATCCTGTGAAGGAGTTTTATACAAGGGCAGCCCATTAACTTTATGAGACCATATACCAAAAGCCTCAGAGAAAGCAATCTTCATGCAGACAAAAATATTAATCACCACAGAACAGGCATCACATTATTATTACTTTTTTTTTTTTTTTCCCTTTACGAGAAAAGTGTAAATGCATGCAGGATGCAAATGCTTCAGCTTTCACTACTGTTTCTCCATTTTGCCAAAAGAGCAATTTAGTCCACACAGTCCTTCAGGAGATCCCTCCCTTCTAACAGTCTTGGCAAAACAGCGGTTCTGTTTCTTCATACTTGAGTGATACCAGTGCAATGGGAAACAGGAACAGCACCGTTGTGCACTGGAGGAGGCCACGTGGTGGTGGTGATGTTTGATTTCTGGGACATGAAATGGTTGGATTCAAAATCAAGGTATTCAATCATCTAGAAAGAATGATGGGAACAAAACAAGTACTCAAAAGCTCACATATATGCTGTCCATTTCCCATACATCAGCAGTATCTGCTACAGCTGCAGAGATCATATTCTGTTCTTCATGGGATTCACATTCACTACCAGAATCACTGCCTATGACTCTCAAGGAAAACTTGGAGGCTGCAGTGGAGCCTTACTTTGGGCCTACGCTACACTGAGGTCCAACACAGCTCTGACCTACTGCCATCTGCCTCCTTGCATCGGTCCCTGTGTAGGAAAAGGTCCAGCCTGTCCCAAGGGCCCAACACTTTCCACACATGAAGCTTTTCCATAGGCAGAATGAGTGCCAAGAAACTGCAGATGTAAATTTGTAATGCTGCTCTGTCTACACAATCAGAAGTGAAAACCTTACCACATATACTGCATGGGGCCCTGAGGCACGCTTGTGGCTGTGTAATGCTGGCATAATGCACAATAACAGGGCAACAATAAGGTGGTAATTGTGAAGGGAGAAAAAAAACTATCTGATCCACTCTTAACTGAATTGAAGGCACCACAATAGCTTGCACATAACAGAATCTGACTCAGGAGAAACTGGTCCAGCTCTGTAAAAGCAAAACAGCCTTAAAGCAAACCTAAGAATACAGTGACTCCTTGTCAGACTTAACAGAGGGTTAGTGTCCTGGGCTTTCCAGGTAGCACAAAGGTGTAGTTCTGTCTGCCCTCATCTCTATCAGATTGAGAGGCTCTCCAGAGAAGTGGCCCAGCTATATAAATAGTCAGCCAAAGCCAGAGATGTGCGAGTAACATGGATCTCTCTAATGCACAGCCTGTAGGGTAATTTAAGAATCTTCATGGCGTAGAACTGCAGAGTGGAAAAATCTCGGTGTAACGTGCTGTCAGACCGCATCTGACGATGTTTATATAGAGGAAAAAAGATCAGAAGACTCGTAACTTTGCAGCCAGGAAGCAGACGCCCCATCCACCTTAGAGTGGCTGGCTACAGACAAGAGGTTAACAAGTCAGTTTGTAACAGCTACCCCAGCAGGTTCAGTTTACATGTTCCTCATCCCTACAGCGACCCCACGTAAGGACATCTGATAGCAATTGAGCCACATCAGCACAGCTCAGATTAAATGATCCCAGAAGGTACAAGAGGACGTGCTAGAGGGGGAGCAGTCACATGCTGAAATGTCTATGTTATTTTTGAACAAAAGCTGGTTTGCATCCTACCACCTCTTCAAACAAGCAAAGGCAGCATCTGACTGGCAGAAGAGCTCTGCTGTACCCCTGAAACTCCTTTCTGCTCCACCACATGAGGAACTAGTTGCTCAAAGAAGTGCAAATGATCTCACAAGATACAACATTTCGTAAGTGAGCTAGACTGCTGAGAAGACAGAAGTTTGACTTTTGGAGATAGCTGCATTACTAACAAGGGTCATGCATCTTGGCTTCTCCACAGAGGAGTTTTTATTGGAAATTCCACCCAATATGGAATAAACAGTGAGACACTGAGATATGCTCTTGCCCAGGGGATTTCTTGGCAAAGGAGACAAGCCCCTCTGCAGCAGAATATGGATAAATATGGATAAAATATGGATTGTAGCCAAATTTGGATATAATTATATCTGCACTGATCATGTAACATTCCTCAACTGGGCAACTGGATCAATGCCATTTGCATGCAAACTGATTGTGTGTCGCCATCAGTCTTTCATGTAAATCCACTGAACTGCTGACTTACATCTGACCAAGTAGACAACAAATACCCTGTGGCCTACGTTATAAACAGTTCCATAAACACAAGAAAATTGAGACAAAATTGCTCCTTTGGAATATTTCACAATCAGCGTGCATTAGGAAGACAAATTTTGGCTCTTCATGCTGTTTGAAGCCACATTTCCAACTCAGTAGCACTGGATATGCAGAAGAACAGAGGCATGAGAATTCCTCAACATCTACATTGGATACGTCAGATCCCAGTTAGGCCAGATGAAGGCACAGAGCCCAGTCTACTACTCTGAAAATAGCTCTCTTTCGGCTACAGTGGGAATCTAGCCTCTTTCCAACAAAGGATAGACCATATAAATTTATAGAATTATTACGCTTGTTAAAATATTTTTAGTTCATTGCTTACAAAATGAAAACCATGAGCCAAATTCACCAGTAACTCAAATCTCTTGGCTACAATAGCATTAGAGAAGGGGTGGCTGTAGCTCATTGCTCTAAGATGCACATACATCTCCCTTGAAATAACGTAGGCTGCACTTAGATTGAGTGGTGGTGCAGAGACGAGGGGAAGCACATTCTGGCAAGGATGCCTCCAGAGCACATCAGTGACACCATTTAAGCCTGCTGGGATTGTATTTGTTTACTAGAACCAAGGAGCTAGCTCTGAGAAAGCACCCTTTTCCCAGGGCCGAAATGCAGTTATCATAATTTAAGAGAAAGTTCCTACATAAGAGCCTGGTGAATGTTAAGATGACTCAGGCACTTATTCTCATCTTTCACAGCTTTTCTTGCAGCAAGAGCTGGTCCAGCCACTCTCAAGAGGTCTCCCTGTCATGCTGGATATTGAAGGCTGCAGGGGCTGGGCTTCTCATCTCCCAGCTGTTTTTGTGCTTGCCTTTGTCACCGTGCTGTTCCCTTCACACACCAGTTCTCAGTGCACTCTTCTGCCTGTAACTTCCCACAGTCTGCTCCCACTATTGAGCTTGTTTGTGCCCTTTTCTTGCCATAGATATGTAGAATTCAATTTCACTTTTTTTCTGTTTGTGAAAAAATGATGGGACATCATAGAGATCAACATTCCCCTCTGGGTGAATCTTGTAAGCAATTTGAGGAGCTGCCTGACTCTCACTACTTAAGGCCACTTGATCTAGAACAAGCTGGAAGACTGCAACACTTGGCTCTTCCCTGCCATGGCACATTATTTTAAGTCACCAGCAAAGAGGGCTTTTCGCAAACACATTCTGCATTGGAGTCATTGAGACACAGGAACCACTTCTGCCTCCATAGAGGAGCAATAAAATCAACTAAAAACATCCCAAACTACCATGACACACCCCAAAGACACATGCTAGGGTCTCAGCCTTGCAGAGCAAGTCTCACTATAACTGCTGGTGCAGCCTAAGGCCCTTATTTGCAGTACTCCAACAAAACTGGGGCAGACAAACTCTTGTTAGCATTCAAAAGCAGACTGGCTGATTGGAACATGGCATATTCTTTTAGGTTTTGTCTTGCTATTCATTATTTCCCTATGACAAAAATTCTGACAGTTAGGATCACCTTTCACAAATCTCATGTATTTCTATGTATGAAATTCCCAGCAAACAATCCTGTTATTATGAGATCTGCCCCTGCTACGTGCCAACCTTCCAGATGTGTTGCAACTCAGTGAACAGCAATCAAAAAAGCAAACCCACTGCATAAAGGTACAAGGATAGAGTTAACATATGTGATACTGGAAACAAACATCAGACTTGAGTGTGACAGTGAGAAAGATTTTGACAAATATTTGGAGGACCTGCTCTTCTTCCATGGAAACTGAATTTTTGAGTTAGCAGTTCTGATTAACCCAGAGAAAACTTGGTCACTTCCATTTTAATAGCTGGAATGTAATCCTGTTTCTACTTACACTAATGGACACGATGGACTTCCAGGGACACAACATTGGTTCATGGAGAAAACTTCTCCAAAGCATCTGAATTTCACTAACTGAATTGATATGCATCTGAAAAGACCTTCTGCAATTACGGAAAGATATTACAGGTGGTCTTATTAAGTACAGGAACGGCAATATATTTTTTAAAAGCAGCTGCAGAGGTATATTTCAATATTCCTAAATATTTAAGGAAAGGTAAAATGCCTTT